ATGGTCATCTTAGAGAGAGAGGAGTTTTATTTCTTTATATTTGTAAGTCCTTCCAAATTCTGAACCTTAAGCACGTACAATTTATAGAAGCAGGAAAAAGTTATTAAGTCCTTCTTGTTAACTAATATGGTGCCATACAGAGTGGGAACTCTAAATAAGAATAATGAAGGACAAGGGGGGATTACCGAGGGGGGGCATTGAAAAGGAAAAGAGTAAGAAATGTCTTGAGAACTAACTGGCTGAAGAACATACATGTCAGCTCCCTCACAAGGGCAGAATGAACAATGATGAATGAACAATGATCCTTAATGATGAATGAACAATGATCTTTGTAGCAAAGCATAGGAAAAGGGATTACGTACTGAAGAAAATAGAAGTACCAACGTACATCAGCAAAGGAGCTATTGACAATATTCAGTAAACTTAAAGACATTTACAGTTAGCAGACAGAAATGAATTAACTACTGAGAATGTGTTATCAAAATACTGGCATGTATTTTATTTGCTTTAATTTACTCCCAAATTATATCCAAAAGGCAGATGTAAAAGGGTTATATTTTTATATCCACTCAGAACTATAATATTTATGTGGGTGATATAATTAGAGGATAAGAAATTCAAGCCACATTTACGGTACCACTTTCCACAGATGACAGAGGAGAATGTGCAAGGATGATCAGTCAATGAGACACTGTGCTCCTATTTCAAGAGGGTGCCTCCTTAAGGAAGATCAGCCTTTAAATGATTACACCAATAATGATAGCAAGAAGCTTTCAGCAGAGAAACCCTAACACTTGTATTACTTACTATAAAGCAACTGTAAAGTGCTACGCTGTATAATCAAGCTCAAGGTGGTAGGTTACAAAAAGACAAATCTTAAGTTCTGTCTAAATCACTTAGTTAAGGGATGGGAGAGCCTTCTTCCTAGGAGACAAAATAAAGATCCTAAGAAGAGGAGGAGATGAAAAAGAACAAACAAACAACAATGACAAAATCCAAAAAAAAAAGGAAATTCAATCAGCAAATTCTTAGGAATTTCTGCTTCTTATTTTATACTTTCTTTGTCTATAATTGGTGTGTGTGGGGGTGTGTGGAATGAACACAGCTTCTAGGCTTAATTTAAAAGCTGAATAATAAAAGAACTGTTTCATACATACAATTTTATTAATGCCTCTTTTTAAGCTTTTGCAAAGCATCTTCTACCTTTCAAAACGTTTTTCAGAATAATCTTAAATATTTCTAACCAAATTTCACTTTAAAAATATCTATCAAGTCTCAGAAATGAATTTCAGAAGTCACTGTCTAGCCTTCTACTTGAATGAAGCCTGATAAAAAGATTTTGTTTCTTGCTCTGAGATTCTCCTAGTTGTTTAGATACACTCTTACCAAGCAATGATGACACTAGTTAACTGGATTGGTGACTAAAGACTTACACCAAATGATATCAGAAATGGCAGTTTCTAAAATTCAGCAAAGCTGCACAAGTCAACTTGAATTACATATTAACTATTTCAATAAAATACTGGTTGATACTTATCGGCTCAGATAGCTACCTTATGAAGTATCTGCCCCCTACAAAGACAAACGACCTCTTATGTCACTCAATCTTTCTCCTCCTCTTTAATCATAGTGAATATAAAACCAGCTTAACTACACAGGGCCCATGGGAATGTTTCTTTAGAAAGGGCTAAAAAGTAGGGGTAAGTACACCTTCCCCACCCATCCCCTGTCATTTCTCACCTTTAAGAAGGATGATCTCATTATAAGGAAGGATTTTTAACATCAATCTCACAGCTTTGAATACACAAAATAACTTAGTAGACAGATAGAAATGAATCTCAAAAGCGATCTTATACATGTGGTTTTACGTTCATGTTAAAGTTTTGGTCAATGGCTTTAAAAAATTAAAATCATGTTTTTTTTTTTTTTTTTACTAAAATTTCTATACTGGCAAAAAGACTATAAACGTTTAAAGATAAAACCATTTGTGCAGTGAGATGTTCTTAACGTAAGTGTAAATTTCCCAAAGGAAAAAAAAATGAAACTAAATTAGACTTTTGTGATTCAAAACGTTTTTCCAGACAGCACACACAGAACCAGACTACAGAACTGAAAGTTTGGCAAAGTATATGATGTTCCAAGATGGTTTTTCTGGGACAAAAACATTACTATAAATGTATTAAGGACCATCATACCAAATTATTGTCTTCTTTTCCATCTACCTGCTGCACAAATTAACTTCAATGCAGAAGGAACATCGTTTCTAAATAGAAAATTGAGGTACCAAGCATGAAAGAATATTATGAGTATGGGAAAATACCTACTTAATGTTTTCAGAAGAAAAAGGTAACTATCTTTGATGTTTTCATAGCATACTTTCCTTCATATTTCAATTACCCATTTAGGAAGAAGCAGAAAGAAGAGGATATACCAACAAGCTAAACTACGATAAATCAAATCTCCTGCTGTAACAGTACATTTCTAATAAATAAAGGCAAAGAATCATTTTATTTCACAATGCAGGTATTTACCAACTGATACTTTAAACTTGGAGTAGATACACTTTAGTAGCAGGGTATCAATGATGTAGTTCAATAGATAAATACATACTACTGATGAATGTTATATAGAATATTTTATAACTTAAAAATGTATCTTCTTTCGTTCTTTATTCTGCTTTAAGAATCAAAATCACTAAAGAAAAACTAATCAAATACTATACCTGGATCTGAATGGAGGGAGCTTCTAGCGCTCTGTAAACCATTGGTAAGACACTGTTCTTTATCTCATCAGGAGGGGTTTTGGTTAGTAGCAAATCCATTTTTTGTAGGAAAATTAATAAAATCTGTTTAGGAAAAAGAGGAACAATGTATTAAAGTCTCGAATCTTTAAGAGATATTCTATACATAACAAAATTTAAAGTTTTTTCAAAAGAATAAGTTATATATTTTGACACTCACCATGTTGCTAGCCTGAAGGCATGGAAGACAAAAACATACAAATCAAGTCTCTTACATTTTAGGAAGTACAATATTTAACTCCTACTAGCACTTTAAACATTTAAAAATAAAGACTAATTTCCTAACTCTCACATATCTACAGTAAGTATCAACTATATGGAAAGCTACTGGGTTAAAAAAAAAAAGCCCAAGGGCACCAAAGCCAGATGTCCCAAAGGTGTAAAGTCCATCACTCAGCTTCTAGGAAGTTCCTAAGACAAAGCCCTTTTAGTGCAAGAGACAACTCTGACATGCCTGGTTATCTGCTATTCTAGGCCACAGGAGATGCCAAACAAATTGAAAAGACAGGGACTTTAGGGAAAGCATGTTAAGAAGGGATATATAACAGCAAGGAAGGAAACAAAAAAGGTCACCCAGAGAACCGTATTTTTACACAAATAACGCACGCCTTCTACATTTGTTTGCCAACTGTGCCTTCCTCCACACTCTAATCTATGTCTGAAGAATTTTTTACATGTTGCTGTAAAAAAAATTAGCATAGCTTGCTTACAAAAATACCTCCGGAGGACACAGCTGGCAAAGAAACATAGAAGGTGAGTGTTATTTGTGTAAAATGTAAAAAATACGGTAGATAACCAAAAAGAACTGCAGTCGGGATCACTTCACGTAGAAGAAAGGGGCCCCAAGTACTTAATTATCTTTCAATGAGATCCCTGTACAATTACTGAAGTACTTGATGAAGAACCCCCCCACTCTACTATATTAAAGTAGCTAAAAATTATATAGTACATTTTAGAAATGTACTCATATCAAGTAAAAAGTTCATCCTTTTAAGACCATATTCCTTGAACATGTCAGATAAATGAAAATGCCATGTTATTTTAAAAAAAACAGACAGTATATAGGAGTCCTCACTTTGGACAGTTCTGATAAAAGTGAATTTCAGTTACCAGTCTCCAATAGTACGATTCAAAAGTGAGTTACCATGGTATATTAACTGTGAGTAACTACATAAAGTACAAACTTCCCTGCTAGCTGTTCAGTCCACAAATCACTGTGTAAATAACAGATACACATTATGACCACTGACCAATCACATCACTTCTGGTGACTGGTCACTGCACCATCTACCATTCAGTTCATGCACACACAGCAAAGTGTGTAGTAGTGTAGCCTTCTTGTTCTCCCAGTGATAAACCCCTTTTACAAAAATGGAAAACTGAAAGACGGAATTGGCCAAAAAGGATAAAAAGTGTTAGTACATAAGGTTGTAAGTACAAAGTACCATGTGTGTAGTAGCAAAAAGTTGGACACAAAAGTGGATGGTTGAATAAACTGTGGTACACTCACACCACAGAATGTGAGCATTAAAAAAAAAAGGTTAAATTTATACCAGCCGACTTGTACACATTTCCTCCATGATACAGAGTAGACAATACGATTCCACTTTCATAAACCTAACAATAACCATCTCTCCAATATTTAAATACATATGTGTATGTGTTTTGTCTGAGATTATATAAGCATAAGAAAAGTGTAGAAGAATACATTACAGCTTGTGAACGCTGGATAGGGTGGGAATAGCAGAAAGGAACTAAAAAAGAGTTTCTCTCTCCATATACACACAAAAGTACATATCTATGTATCTATATCTATACGGAGCCCTGGTGGTGCAGTGGTTAAGAGCTAACCAAAAGGTGGGCAGTTCAAATCTACCAGCCACAACTTGGAAACCCTATGGGGCAGTTCTACTCTGTCCTATAGGGTTGCTATGAATCAGAATTGACTCAACAGCAACAGGTATATGTACACACGTACACACACAGTATGAGAAAGTCCCCATGATATAAACAACATTTATGATTGATATTACCTCATTTACATACAATTATGTGTGTAAGTGTGAATATAAGAGCATATGAAAGGACAGTCATTCAGTGTTAATGATGGAGGGAATTCAAGTAATTTTTATTTCTTTTTTTATATTTTTCAGTATTGCTGAAGTTTCGACAATGTATATGTATTATTCATATAACCAAGAAAAAAGTTATTTTCATTGTGAAAAGAATTAAAAGAAAGTAATAGATAAGCAGGCAAAAATTTATTCACCAAAGAAAAATCTGAACAACCATAAATTAAAGTAACCTCAAGGTACCATTTTATATCAACTAATTTAAAATTCTAAAAGGTTATCATACATTGCCAGCCTGGTGGTAGTGAAAGCAGTAAGCTCATGCGCAGCTGACCTACACAATCAAATAATCAAATATTTTCTAAACTAACATCTATTAGGAACAGATAAGTAACTCTATGCAAAGGGTTCTCCCCGACCCCAGAAAATGGTTATTAGATTTATGTTCTTAACTAGAATTTTAATTCAAAGTATTTTGAGCGATCAGATGCTGTTTAATAAATTATGAGACTAATTTTATTAAAAGTAAGGCTATGAACACATCAAGTACTGTGTATTTTGAATAACAGTTAACAAGTCTTTATAACCTCTTCTGTTGGTCACACTTTTGACTCTGGAACATAATCTAGTTGTTTAGGGCAGGTATCTAAGAATCTACTTAATTAAGTGTATCAACTAAATACCTATTCTTCTCCAGTGCAACACAAATTGGAAAAGATAACAGCTCTTTCAATTCTAATAGTTTGTTAATATTATCTACGGTCTTCTTTATAAAGAAAACAGAAGGTAAAGAAATTAATAGGACTGTAAGGAAAAATTCTATGAAGAAAAAATTAACATTTTAATTGCCTCTGACTTTTCATTCCTACCTCATCTAACTGCCCCCACGTAGCTAAACTATAAGGAACCAACTTCTATCCATGCAGAATACTTAATTTTATCAAGTCTTAGTTAAAATTTTTCAGAAGGAATTTTTAACTGGACAACTAACGAAAAGAAAAAAAGAAAAAAAAAAGGGAATGGAGGCATATAAAACTTACAGGTTCCTTAAGATACTATCTTGACAGACACATAGCTTAGTGAACATGTGGCTCCACCACCTTTCCCTCTGACATCTTGACCTGCTTCAAAGCCTAATCTCCCTCACCCTTTCCCTAGTCCATAGGAACTCTTGCCTTACTACTACACTTCCTTCTTTGCCCCTTCTTTTAAGGCAAGGACTACAAACAGCCTGTCATAAGGCCATAAATCAATTAGTTGATGGTTTACCAATAAACTACGGCCATATAGTAGAAGTAACATAAAATAGTATTCACTAACTATGTGCCAGAAAATTTCACTTACTCCCAACAACCCATTTCACTCCAGAAATGGGGCTTTAAAAGAGTAATAACTTGTCCCAGTCATGCTTCTAGGATAGGAAGAAGCCCAGATTCAAACCCCTGTGAGTGACTCTACTGCTCTGAAGTCTAGACTACCCTGAATCTGGCACATAAACAATATAATAGAGTCTACATGAGAAACTGATCACCTTTTTCGCTTACAATATATATGCACATTATTCCCATGGTGCTGTAAGTGTTTTTTCTCTTCTGGTGGCAGTGTTTACTAGCAGTAAGATAAAGAGTTTAACAACTGGCACAAGTCATCTACAAATTAAAGGCCCTGAATAACAAAACAAACCAAAGTGCAGGAGAAAAATAGCTTCCCAAGCTGTAACTTCCAGTAAGGCCAAAGGAAACAGTATAGCAAATAAAAAATCTCATTACAGTTTATTTTCTGAGATGGTAATTTATGGAGAACTGCATACATTTACTTGCAGTCTATTTATAATTTTAGGAATGCTTCCCTTCAATCACATACAAGATAGCTTTCTGACTAATAGAAAAGAAAGTGGAATATTCTTACCTCAAATTTTAAAAAGTCACACATGCAATTCTTTTGTGTTTAATGACAATTAACATCATGAAGAATACCAATGAATAAAAATGCAAAAATATCTGGATACATACCTGGATTGGCTCCTGCTGTTTAAAGACAGGGCCAAGTTCAGGTAGAATTAATTTGACATATTCTTCTTTGGTGCATTCCTCAGCAATCAACAGAACATTGGGTAAAACAAAAGGTACCATGTCAGGGTTTACAAACTCTGAAGTCAGACAAGGTAAAATCCTCTGCACGATGACCCGCTAAAAAACAAAATATTTTTATGAAACAAAATTTATTTCAGATCTCCAGTGTTAACATTGAAGTTACAGTTTAAACTCTCCTATCCCTTTACATAATGTGACCCATGTAATAAATGCCCAAACTAAGACACTTTTGAGAGTAAAATGGGGTGCTACTCCTAATCATGCCAGGACAAAAAGCAGAACCTGGAAATATCCCAAAAGGGGGCATATGACCATTTAGGAAACTTTCCCAAATTAGTCTTCACTAATATATTTCTCCACTTAATCCCTTCATTATTTATGACTCATAGCACACAACTTAAGCACTGTCCTATACTGTACTTTTATGCACTAAAGAATTCTTTTGCAATACAACCTTATGATTTTGGTTTTATAGATTAAGTTTACGTTAGGTAAAATAGCAGGGAATGCTTGTGTATTAAGTCAACAATTTCAACCACCAAGTTATAATTTATAAAATAATTTCTAGTAGTTAAGAATTATCCCTCTATCTCTGAACATGTATATATTTTCATGCATGTTAACTCTATTTACACTGTAAGGGCCTTGAGAACAGGGACAATATTTTACATTTCCTTTTTCTCTTTATTCTCCATTGCACCTACATAGAGTCCTAGACAAACAGTAGGTAATCAATGAATACCTGATAAATTAAACACTGAAAAAAAACCTGGAACCAGGAAATAGTACTAGCTTTCTAACCAGTGCCTCTTCTTTAGCATTCACCAACATTTTTCAGACAATAGTACACTCATGCTTTAAGAAGTCAGAGACAGTTAAGGAAACTGAAGAGGCCAGCATCAATAGTAAAAAGTATTACAATGATATGTGCAAAAACCTAGAGATAGAAAACCAAAGGGGAGAACACACTCGCATTTCTCAAACTGAAAGAACTGAAGAAAAAATTCAAGCCTTGAGTTGCAATACTGAGTAATTCTACAGGGAAAATATTTAATGATGCTGGAAGCATCAAAAGAAGATGGAAGGAATACACAGAGTCACTATACCAAAAACAACTGGTCGATGTTCAACCATTCCAGGAGGTAACATATGATCAGCAACCAATGGTACTGAAGAAAGAAGTCCAAGCTGCAGTGAAAGCACTGGCAAAAAACAAGTCTCTGGGAATTGACAGAGTACCAATTGAGATGTTTCAACAAACGAATGCAGCGCTGGAAGGGCTCACTTGTCTATGCCAAGAAATCTGGAAGACAGCTACCTGGCCAACTGACTGAAAGAGATCCATGTCTATGCCTATTCCCAAGAATGGTGATGCAAGTGAATGTGGAAATTATCAAACAGTGGCATTAATATCACATGCAAGCAAAATTTTGCTGAAGATCATTCAAAACTGGCTGCAGCAGTATATCGACAGAAAACTGCCAAAAATTCAAGCCAGATTCAGAAGAGGACATGGAACCAGGGATATCACTGCTGATGTCAGATGCATCCTGGCTGAAAGCAGAGAATACCAGAAAGATGTTTACCTGTGTTTTATTGACTATGCAAAGGCATTAGACTGTGTGGATCATAACAAATTATGGATAACATTGAGAAGAATGGGAATTCCAGAACACTTAACTGTGCTCATGAGGAATCCGTCCGTAGATCAAGAGGCAGTCGTTCAAATAGAACAAGGGGATACTGCATGGTTTAAAGCCAGGAAAGGTGTGCACCAGGGTTGTATCCTTTCACCATACCTATTCAATCTGTATGCTGAGCAAATAATCTGAGAAACCGGACTATATGAAGAAGAATGGGACATCAGGAAGACTTATTAACAACCTGAGTTATGCAGATGACACAACCTTGTTTACTGAAAGTAAAGAGAACTTGAAACACTTACTGATGAAGATCAAAGACCACAGTCTTCAGCATGGATTATGCCTCAACAAAAAGAAAACAAAAATCCTCACAACTGGACCAATTAGCAACATCATGATAAATGGAGAAAAGACTGAGGTTGTCAAGGATTTCATTTTACTTGGATCCACAATCAACACCAATGGAAGCAGCACTCAAGAAATCAAAAGACGCATTGCATTGGGCAAACTGGCTGCAAGAGAGCTCTTTAAAGTGTTAAAAAGCAAAGATGTCACCTTGAGGACTAAGATGCGCCTGACTCAAGCCAGGGTATTTTCAATCGCCTCATATGCATGAGAAAGCTGGACAATGAAAGGAAGACCGAAGATGAACTGATGCCTTTAAATAGTGATGCTGGCGAAGAATGTTGAATATACCATGGACTGCCAAAAGAATGAACAAATCTGTCTTGGAAGAAGTACAATCAGAATGCTCCTTAGAAGGAATGATGGCGAGACTACATCTTACATACTTTGGACATGTTGTCAGGAGGGATCAGTCCCTGGAGACGGACATCATGCTTGGTGAAGTAGAGGGTCAGCAAAAAACAGGAAGACCCTAAACGAGATGGACTGACATAGCGGCTACAACAATGGGTTCAAGCATAGCAACAACTGGGGGGTTGGCACAAGACCGGGCAGTGTCATTCTGTTGTGCATAGGGTACCTATGAGTCAGAACCAACTTGACAGAACCTAACAACTTCAATAGGAGCCCTGGTGGCACAGTGGTTAAGAGCTACGGCTGCTAACCAGAAGGATGGCAGTTCAAATCCACCAGCTGCTCCCTGGAAACTCTATGGGGCAGTTCCACTCTGTCCTATCGGGTTGCTATGAATCAGAATCCACTCGACAGCAATGGGTTTTCGCATCATTGTGCAATGGTTAAGCACTCAGCTGCTAACCAAAAGGTTGGTGGTTCAAACTCACCCAGCGGCTCTGCAGGACAAAGACGTGGTGATCTGCTTCCATAAGGATGACAGCCAAGAAAACCCTATGGGCAGTTCTACTCTGTCACATGGGGTCACTATGAGAAGGAATTGACTTGGCAGCACCCAACAACAACAGCATCAATAAAGAAGTACCTCCTTAATTGCTGGTTTGGCAGTGATCTCCACAGTGACAGCTTCTGAACCTCTCTTCTGACATTTAATGTTCAAGCGCTGCCTTTGTATAGGTAATATCCTTCTAATTTTTTTTATCCTATTTATTTTTTTAACCACGCGAAAAGGGTCACTAAACTTTTGGTTACAGTCTGCAGCCTTTTATAGTCATTTATACACTTAAGGCAAAAGTCATCTTTATCTCTTTGGAAGAATTATTATAGTAAGTGAAAGTAAACTATAAATTTTAAAATCCTGACCATAATCAGAAATTGGTCAACAACAAACCTTGGGCAGTTTTGGTAACACCTTTGGCAGTCCTTTGAAAAACTGTGATTTCTGAAGATTATCTCTTTGGAATAAAGTATCAAAATACTGCAGTGTTACTGCACCAACATCATCGAAGAAGGGAATCTAAAAATAAGGCAATAAAAGTATTTTGATAAATATTAACATTAAAGTACTTCTATTTGAAACTGTCACAGTTTGGCAAAACAATACTCAGAAAAAAATTAGCAAAATGCTAAGGACCATTTTAATAGAAATTCTAATTATAAAAATCAGGATAAAGTAATAAATTACTTTTCTTTTCAAGTTCAAATCATCAGAATTAGTACCTATGAGTTTGCTGGGCAGTAACATTTTGTTAACTACTAAAATACTGAAAGATTAAATAAACACCTTGCAAGCATAAAGAGTACCAATAATGTATTAAAAATCCATGCTTATATCAGTGAATTAAAGCGAATTCTCTGGAGAGTAAAACTTCTGCATACCTACTTGTGACTCTTAGGACTCTGTTCACTTGAAATGTTAACTTCACATCAGAGCAATTATATACACAAATTATTTAAATGTTTAAGATTATAAAAAAGCTGAAAACTTAGTATGTTCAAGAATACAGACATTATTTGGGGACCATATTTGACTAAATATTGTTTCAGAAGCATTTAATCTACCGTAACTCATTTTTTGTCCCTTTACCTAAGGCAGAAATTCATGTGTACTCACCTTTGTCATCTGATCTGCATCTGGTCTTACAGCTGGAGTTACATTTAACAGCAGTTTTACATGTTCACGGACTTCCTCAGGTATACTAGTAAGTGAACTAGATCCTAAACGACTCAACTATTCAAAACAGCAATAATATTACATACGAATATAAAATATTCAAAAAGATATGCATTAATATTGTCAATAGTCTATTTAAGAATCCTTTTAAAAATTTACCTATAAATATATTTGTTACAAAGACATTCTGGAAACATATCCTATAGAAGCTGAGGTGTAACATGGGGAAAAAAAAACAAAGGGATTATCTATAAAATGTTTATTCAGTACTTTTCTTTTTTCAAAGGTTTGTATAGGGTGTAATATATTTATCATCTTACATTACAAAGTCCAATAAGTCAAGTTAGAGTGGATTAAACTAAATGAACAACTGTGCTCGCTAGGCTTCAAAGTAAAAAAGTTTTCCTTTCATCTTTGACTATAAGATGTCAAAGGGTGGCAGCCTGTTCCAACCGAAAACAATACGTGAAGGGTTGCCAACTTGCATGAGCTACCTCTTTTTAGAAAGTGATTTTGATGTATCTGTCAGACCAGCTGACTGTGTGAGTATATTGAGAACATAAAGTTTTCTTAGACACACAAGAGAAATAAATAAAATTCACCAAAATTAATTTAAAAAAAAAAAAGCAAAAGAGCATGACACCTCTAGCTACAGGCAAAGGTGTGGGTTTTTAAAGTGTGTATAAATACATATACATCAAATACAAAATTTTGCAAATTGCCTGATACTTCAAATAAATGTGAGAGGTTTTTGTTTTATTTAATTTCTTCCAAAAAGCAGCTTCCATTAAAATAGGAACTGAGTATGCATACATAATAGCACAACCATTCTGAGTTTAGGTGAATAAGGGCTAGAAATTTTGAGTAACCAAAATTTGTCATGTGACCAAATCTTACTTTACTAAACTGAATTCTATTTCTTCTCCTCTGCTGTTGAGGTAATTTACATATTCTATACATATTTTGTGTACTCTCAGCTAATAAGTTTTTTAGCAAAAGTGCAGCAGATTTACCTGGAGAGCTGCTTTAGCTCAGTGAATTCAACTTGCATGTTTTATCTTTGTTCAATAAAAAGCATTTAATGCAACAGATATCTATATCTGTATGTTGAACAAACTACTAATTCTATTACTGTAAGATAATTAAAATATTATCTTTAATATCTGAAACTGTTTCTATTCCTAAAACAATATACCTAATATTTTACAATCATATTTCAATATTCATTTTAGTAAATAAATGTTAAATAATTTGTAGTAACAAACTTTAACCAGTCCTCATTATTTATAAAATTACTTCTATTGAGTACATGCAAACTTAAAATAGGAAACGTATCTCATTTTAGAGAATTTTCTGAACACATTTTAGAAAAAAAAAATCAAAGAAATATTTCATCAAATATTTAATGCAATCAAATATTTATAGGCAAATACCTGATCCAACTGCCTACTGAAACTCTTGTAAATATCTTGCTTGTTGACTTCAAATATAGGTTTCCCTTTATTAAATATAGCATACATAACAGTTCCTAAAGAGTACATATCACTGGCTGTTTCACAGCTCACAGAAAGTATGTATTCAGGAGCCAAATATTCAGGATTTGGAAGACACAATGATGGTAAATTTGGGTCCCATTCTTTGCAAGGAAACTTAGGCTATAAAAGAGAAAAGGGATTACATAAATTAAATATTTCAAATGAAAACACCACTATCAAGCAGTAGCAATCTATCCTTATATTTATACCTCAGTCATGCAAATAAAAATGCCACCACCAGCTTTATTCCTAAAATTCCCAAAACTACAAATCTGGCAAGTGCAAACATCAAAATGAGATAAGAATAAGAACTCTTAATACTGTGAGATCAGAGCTTTCTTCCAGAAAAAATCATCACTAGCAAGATGCAGTATCAATATGGGAAGAACTGGTATA